AGTTATTTAGTTGCTTCCCTGCTTTTATGTATTTTTTCTCCTTATTCTAAAAGGCAAACATGCCTGTCCTAAAATATCGTTACTGCAGGTAAGACCTTTAAGCTAAACCGTGATGGCATTTTTGGAATGGGGGCTCTACTCTTTGCCCAGAGCCTCAGAGAGCTTCTCTGGAGCTGAATCTGGCCCTTGAGCCAAAACTGGCTTGTCAGAGCAGCTATGAAGCATCCCTGAAACTTTACACAGTCTGGGGAAGCGGGGTCATAAATCAATATTTTGAAGTGAATAGATACGCTTTAAAAGCTCATTTAAAGGAACAGTGAGTGAAATGTGATAAATAAGTCCTTTGAATGTGGATATCTATCCATCTTATATATGTATCTTCTTATCAATACGGCTCGTTATGCACAGACCCCATTTATCAAAAAGTAGCAGAGTATTCCATTTGAAATGACTTGAGGTAATGCGCCCTTCAGAAGGACAGCTGTGTCTTTCAAAAAGGCTTCAATTTCCATTCATCCACTTCTTCAATTAGGAAATGGACCAGTGTTCAATCTAGTTGGCCTACACCTGCCCCCTGTGGACCAGAAATCATGCATACAGATGAAATGGTAATAGTTTCCATTGCAAGACAAGTGTGGGTTAGATACAGTCCTAATGAAACTGAATAATAAGCGGTAAAATGTAGGCCTGCCAATTAGTTGATTAATCATCTGACCATTGACTGATTAAGTCATTCACTGATGAGCAGCATGTCTCCAAATCGATAGCATTGGTGCCCTTCTGAGGATATCAAAGGAAATCCTCAATTCAGACCGAAATGGAGCAAAAAGCAGACAGCTCCATCTTATACTAAGAGAGTTCCTGAACTGTATTACTTCCAATGGTAGATGTGGGACATGGGTGCTGCAACTTGATTACCTCCTCCATAAGCGGGAGAAAAGTTCTAACTCAATATTGCACTAGGCATGCTAGAGAGGTTTCTGGGTATCTTTTTCCTTCCTTGTAGGCGCTTTCTCTTTTATTCATAAAGTAGTTAGGGATGCAGTATCACTTTCCTGTTCGCACAATCTGGAATGGTACCATACAAAACCAGGGCTAACAAGTCAGCCTTCCCTAGCTGAATCGAATGCCCCCCAGAAGTGTTTCAACAACTCCCAACATCCCCATCCATCCATCTGGGGCACCAGGTTTGGGAGGCTGCAGTACCAAATGATGTTGGTATAGTTTTGTAATCCTCTGTTCTCATGGAAACAAGTTTGACCCCAGTTGCTTTGTAAAGTCTTGTGTGGCTGAAGGTTCACTTTTGCTAAAAAAGGTAAAGGTAAAGGTTTCCCCTTGGTGTGAAGTCCAGTCATGCCTGACTCTCGGGGGCAGTGCTCATCTCCGTTTCCTGGCCGAGGGAGCCAGCGTTTGTCCGCAGACAGTCTCTGTGGTCGTGTGGCCAGCATGACTAAACACCGAAGTGCACAGAACACTGTTGCCTTCCCACCGAAGTGGCACCTTTTCATCTACTCGCATTTGCATGCTTTCGAACTGCACGGTTGGCAGGAGCTGGGACGGAGCAATGGGAACTCGCCCCGTTGTGCAGATTCAAACCGGTGACCTTTCGATCCACCAGCCCAGCAGCACAGCGGTTTAAACCACTGCACCACCTGCATCCCTTTTTTTGCTACTGAAATATAAAAAACGAACCGGTGTTGGGTTTTTGCCCAACTCCACATTGTGGAATGGTGTAGCCAAAGAACTGTGGTCCTGATTCCTAGACCTCTGTTGTGATGGGAAACCCAGAATGATCACTTTCTCATCCAGGAATCAACTATCTCATGATAAGAATGTGTATTTTTTGGATACATGCATGCACGTGCACACAATCTCACACTGAAAATGGAGATATTATCATGCAAATAGAATTGCAGATTCAGAAAGTTCAGAAATCCACAAGCAGAATCAAGCACCTCCAAAGAAAACCCAAGCACTGTGTTTCTCTCACGTTGTAAGCAGCTCACCCATGAACATTTCTGGTAAGTACCTTCTTATTGCTGGCCTGCAGAGCTTCTGAACAAAATGTGGAGGTGGCAGGTGGAGAGCCAAAGAGAAGAGCCAGCAAGAAGCCAGTCTTGAGGGTGGCTAATGGCACTGAATGTCTTCTTGTGCCAGCTCTCAATGGGCTCTTTTTGAGCATAACTAGAGAGGAGATCAACCCTGACTGCTCTTTAGAGGGCCAGATATTGAAGATGAAACTCAAATACTTTGGCCACCTAATGAGAAGGAAGGACTCCCTGGAGAAGAGCCTGATGCTGGGAACAATAGATGGCAAAAGAAAGAGGGGATGGCAGAGGATGAGGTGGCTGGATGGAGTCACTGAGGCAGTGGTGTGAGCTTGAGTGGACTCTGGGGGATGGTGGAGGACAGGAAGGCCTGGAGGAGTGTTGTTCATGGGTTCATGAAGGGTTAGACATAACTTTGCGACTAAACAACAAGTGTGATCCCCTGCAACAGAGGTGTTGAATCTCGTTAGCTTGAACGTTACATTCTGCTTTGGTTAACCTCTTGGGGTGGGCAGAGACTGAGGCAAAAGGAACAGAGCCAAAATACCTCCTATCCCCAACACCAGCATGTTTTAGCCTAAAGCTTAATGTCTGAGCAAAAGGGTCCTTGAAAAATGCAAACTCTCTCTGCACGCTTATTAACTTACACACACACTGCTGGTAGATAAAGATAATGAGGAGTCAGAGAGTGTTTGCTCCTAATTTGACATGCAATGATACTTAAAAATTCCATCCAACATATGATTAAATGAACTGCTAGAAAAGCTTGTCAGAGTCTCTTGTGGCACCCAACACAGCTGCTCTGCTGAGAAAGCACTCAGGGCCATTAGTGCCAGCGTGTCTTAATATTCCATGACACAACTAGGCCACACGATCTGTTAGCCCCTTCGGGTTCCTGAAGAAAACAACTTCTGGCAAGCGAGAACAATGGTCTTTGAAGAGCAAACAGCTAAGGGGTGACCGTGTGTGTGATGCTGCATGTGAGGAGTCAGAAAAAGGATCTGAGCTTGAAGTGCCAGTTGCCAAGGATGGAAACAGCCCTCTGGGGCCATCCAGGAATGTCACACTTTGCGTGGGGAACAGTTGGAAAGCTGTGATGAAGGAGAAGGTTTTGCCTGGTTTCTGTCCCTCCAGCTGCGGCTCAGTTTACCTCACAGCAGCACTTGGAGGTAGGCCAGGAGAGAGAGGCTGGTGTTAGGTGGACATCCAGAGAGATGATCTGGATGAAAACCATGGGTAGGATGCCCACTCCTTCTTCCTCCCCTCCTGCTGCCACTGAGAGCTCTTCCAGGCTTCCCACAGGTGCCAAAAAACAGCCAACTTTTTAAATGGTTCAGCGGCTTCACAACTGTGCTGGAACTTCTGCCCATTTAAGCTCTAGCTGGGGTGAGCAACTCATGTCCTACAGATGCTTCGGATGAAACTTTAATTACCCCTCAGCATTGGCTATGCTGGGTTGGAGGGCACTTATTTATTATGTATTTAAAGCTTTTATAAACTGTCCCTATACTAGTGTCTCAGGACGGTTTACAACAAACAGCAAGAGAAACAGAAATTAATTGCTCTACTGGGTGTAAGCATCATATCATGCTGGCTTTCAAGCCATGGAGGGCCTCTCAAGGAATTTGTGTGCAGCATTGCAGGAAAGTTATCTCAAGGGAGGAATCTAGGAAGGGGAAAGAAAGCACAGTCTCCTTAAAAGGAGGTAAAATAGACAAGGCAGCAGAGAATAAAAGTCCGGTGGATAGTGAGAAACTTGGATAGGGCTGATGAAAACTTGGCTTTTGAGGTCTAGCAACTTGAGATGTCGAATTGCAGGACTGTGCAGGACTGGGGTGAGTGTTCATGAGCACCTCTTGTGGTCATCAGGCACACCACCCAATTTTGGACAAGTTGCAATGTCCAGACTGTTTCCAAGGGCAGTCTCACATACAGCGCGTTGCAGTAACCTGGATGCGGAGTGACCAGTGCAGGGATGACCATCGTAAGGCTCTGCTCGTCCAAGCAGGGAGGCAGCTGATATTCCAGCCGAGGCTGGTAGACAGCACTCCTGGCTTCTGAGTCCACCAGGAGGGCTCCAAGGCTGCAAAGCTTGTCCTTAGGGGAGCGCAGCCCCATCCAGGAAAGACTGAACATTCCCCAGTCGGGCAGATGGACTCCCCACCAACAGTACCTCCGTCTTATCTGGATTGAGCTTCACCTTACTGGCCTGCATCCAGTCCATTACTGAGCCCGAGGACTGGTGAAGAGCAGAGACTGCCTCATGTGGGCCTCATGAAGACAAGAGGCAGAGCTCAGCCCAGACCTCCCCCAGGGGTTTCATGTAGATGTTCCAACACCTTGCCCAAAAACGGGATGCTGGCCACCGGTCTATAATTGGCGGCCATCTCTGGATCCAGGGGCGCCTTCTTCGGGACAGGCCTGATTACTGCCTCCTTTAGAGGAGCAGGCATCCAGCCGTCCCTCGGAGAGGCATTAATGACCTCCAGGACCCAGGCACCAATCCCGTCTTTGGCTTTGGTCAGCAGCCACAACGGGCAAGGGTCGAGTAAGCAGGCGGTGGGACGGACTCGTCCAAGCACCTTGTCCACATCATGGGGCCGCAGTCACTGAACTTGATCCAATAACGCCTGACCAGACGGAGTCCTTGGCACCTCCCCGAGAGGATCTGAATCACTTGGGGAGTCCGGCTCGTGGCGAATCCGAGCGAAGGATTCCACAGTCAATGGCATCGGAAGCCTCTGAGTCTGTGTGTGATGCAGCTCTGGCCAGGGCGGGCGAGGTTCAGCGGCTTGGCTGCTGGGGGTGGGTCACGGAGGGTGGGCATGGGGCAGAAGGGGGCGATGGGCGGAACGCAAGTGCGCTGGGAACATGCGCCGGCGGAACGCGAAGTGTGTGACGCCCCCCCCCCGGGAGCCATGGCAACGCGCGGCCTGCAGAAGGTGCCGGGGCGGGCCGGGCAAGCGGGAAAGCCGGAGCTCCCGGGCGGAGTGTGCACCCACGCCAAAGACCCTGGGCGGCTCGGGTCTTCTCACCCGGGATGGACATTCAGGAGGCTCCTGCGACTTCAGGTGGCGGTGGGTCTCCCTGGGGAAAGGATTCTCTCCTTGCAGCCCCCCCACCCCAACTTCCACCCCGGGTCTGGGTTTAGGGGACAACTATCAGCCCTCATTAATACAGATTTGCTGACATAAAAATGCTGGTGAAGGCACTTAAAACTCTGTCAAGACGTGCCTGATGCAAATAGTTGTCCTTTCCATCACTCCCCTCGCTTAAAGAGGATGACAAACCTTGCATTTATATCCTGTCTTTCTCCCTCTTCCAAAGAACTCAAGGCAGCTTACAAGGCAGTTCTCTGCCTGTCCATTCTAATTATTGATTTTATATGTTTATTAGATTTATATACTGTCTTTTCCTTGCTTAAAGAACTCAGAGTGGCCTCCATCATTCTCCTCCTGCTGCTCTCAGATCTTATCCCCACAACATCACCCCCGTGAGGTAGGCTGGGCTGAGAGTCTGACTGGCCCAAAGTCACCCCGTTGGCTCCCTGGCTGAGAGGGGACTTGAACACGGGTCGCCTGAGTCCCGTTTCCATGCTCTTAACCACTACACCACACCGGCCAAAATACTTCACATGCACTCATATGGCAGACCTCCATGGTAAATCACCATTCCCAATAATGACAGTATTTGCTAGGCAGCTTTAGTCTTTTTTTTAGTGCTTACACTGAAACAACACTCAGGGCTGTTGCCCTGAGCGTGCTTACTAGGGTATAAGCTCCTCTGTCCACAAAGAGACTTGATCCGAGTCCTTCAGAAAGGTTGCACTATCAGTGTTTATCTGTTTCTGTGTATTTCTCAGCTGTACCTTCCCTTTGCTGTATTCCACCCATGCCCCCAGTATCTGATCAAGGTTTAATTCTGGCTTGCTTCATATGGCAGTGAGGGGGACAGCAGAGGTGCAGTTACAACAAGAACCTCTTCACCTGCCCCAACAAGCTCCAAATGTATATTGGAGAATCTCTGGGAAGATTCTCTGCTCTATCTCGTGTCATGTACCCTGATAAAACTTCTGAACTAATATTTGTATAAGTAATAATCATGTGCCTGCTCAGAGGGGAAATTTATCTGGAAAAGGCTGCATAATGAGTTTGTCCTTTAATGCACTGACAGAACTTGCTATCTTCTTGGTGTTGCAATAAAATATGCCCCAGTGTTTAAGAAAAAGTGGAGGAAGTTTTTCGGTATATCTCTGACTGCATCACATTTCTTCATGTTAAGTGTCTCTGTGCTATGGACGTTTGTCTTTCCAATTATTTTACAAGGTTGAAGCTGTTTTATGTTTGAAAGTAGGCTTTTGATGTGCAAAGCACTTCTTGCAGACAAATAAATAGAAGAAAATTTGGTCTTGCTTAAAGAAAAAAAAGCATTTTTCCCTGCAAGGCATATCTGTTTTGCCTGATTTATGAATTGTGTAATGGTTTAAGCCCTGGTTGCTTAACTCAGAAATTGTCAGGGCTGAGCAAGAGCAAATGGGTGTGTTCCTTCCTGTGTACTTGTGACTTCCATTTTCCATAAACAATCCAGCAATGTCCTGTTTCTGAATTGTTATTGTGACACTTGAAACTGGATCTCTGAGTTTTTTTAGGGAGTATGCTACCTAAAACAAACCATGGGTAGTTGTTGGGTTAACTCTGGGTTGTTTAACCCCTAACTGTTCAGGTGCTATTGGTTAAACATGGAAGGCAATCATTGTTGCCCCTCCTCTTTAGGCCAGACATAATGAAAATGGAGTATCTTCCTTCTAGCTTTTGCTTATACAGCTGAAGACTATGCAATTAGTTTTGGTATCATGGTTTTTCAGATAAATTCTCTTGAAGTCATTGTCTGGTATTATTATTATTATTATTATTATTATTATTATTATTATTATTATTATTACATTTCTATGCCGCCCCTTGCTGAAACCTCTGGTTATTGTCTGGTTATTGTGCTCAAAGTCTACAGGTTGGTAGCTTTCCATTAACCCTTTGCTGCTTTAACTATAATTATTTCATGGTATGCTTATTTTTAGTTAAGCACTGTGGTGACCAGCTTCTAGGCCGTGCGTAACAGAGCAGATGGAGTGGAGTTGGAACGATAGCAGCTCTGTTCCAGACTATGCAGAGGAAACATTTGCATCCTTCAATGAAGGAGAGGAAGAAACCTGCAGGCAGTATGAGAATGACCTATTTGAATCTTATTATTCTGGAGAAGAGTCGGAACGGCCTGCTGCATCCGATCTGCCTGAAAGTCCATGCCAGTCATCGAGTCAAGATGAGGAAGGTGTGTCAGACTTTCTATTTGTTAGAAATAATTGTATAATGGCAGGAGGCTTAGATCAGCAAACATGCTGAGGGAGCAGGCGAGGTGGGAGGAAGAAAGGAAAAGTGTCTTGCTCCCTTCACAGGAAGCAGCAAGTACTCAAAATGTTGACTTACCAAGCCAGGTTTTCTTTTGTTGCTGAGTGAAGAGTCCTAGTGAAAATAAGGGTTTATATGCATTCATATAATTCCATTAGCAGAAAGTTTCTGCACTTTGTAGATGTCCTGTTTTTAGGGTCAGGGTAGAATATTTTGCTTTTGTGTGTGCAAGCCATTGTGCAAATTGTTGCATAAGGCACTGTGTAACTCCTTCGAACTTGATTGGGTCAGGTGTAGCCGAGTCCCGGTTCTGGTAGTTATACCCAGCAGTGTGTTTGCAGAAAAATGGCAAGTGTTGCTGTACTATTCACAATTGGGCAACCACTGCCAAAACAAGCACAACAGGTGCGAGCAACACAGTCATCTGAAGTCATGATACATCATGTAGCAATTTGTGCAAACAGAATCAAGGCACTGGATAAGGACTTGCGCAAAGATACAGAGTTTCCGGGAGCTTTGTGCTAGTGAGATGACACCTTTACTTACCAGCCAAGAAATGCTCTGTGCAGACAGAGGTAGAAGTGTCGTGTTTGGCACGGTGGGGCAGACCTATAGGCGAAGGAAAGTTACAATCCATCTTCAGGGCAGGGAGAAGTCCTGTCCGCCTTCATGGGCATGTGCCAGTAACCCCCAGTGCTCCTTTGCTCAGGTAGCATCCATGAGCAAATGGGGCTGGGTCCCTTTGGTCACTGAGTAGTGCAGAAAAACGGCGCAGAGGGTAGAACTAAAATGGCAGCCCCTGTGCTCCCGTTACCTTCTGTGCTTATGGCATCCTTTCACACCAGTGCTTTAATAACGACTTGAGCAAGCGAGTGGAGGATGCTGTGCACACATTTTTCTCACGTAAGCCCAATCCTGGCCCATACTGTACAGCCAGACTGTTCGGTTCAGGCTGACAGGGACCGAATATCCATCTTGCATAACAGTGGATGGTTTGAGACAGGACAAGAGGCGGTAGCTATTCTAGTTGAGCACGGATACAAAAATGGGTTAACATAATGCAATCTTCAGCAGACATTAAGCCCTAATGAGTTCAGTGGCACTTATTCTCAAGGAAACGTGTGGAGGATTCTAGACTCTCACCCATCTGTTGCCTGTTTAATTGGAAGTAAATCTTCCAGTGTTCAGTGGGACTTACTCCCAAGTAACTCTATATATGATTGCTGCCATTGCTTTCCTCTGTCAAAAAAGCCAGCCAAGGACTGTGTCTGAATGAAAGGAGCACATTGTTTCAATGGAACCAGTACCTGGTTTTGTGCCATCTGGATTTCAGATGCCCTTCATTAATATCTGTGGTTCTTTGGCACCAATTATTCCAGAAAATGGCCACATGTGAAGGAAGCTCATTTACTTTCCCAGTTTCTGTCTTAAATCTGGCATTGCATTTTTTTACTGTATTTCTCAATTTCTACACTGTACATTGGATTTTATCACCTTATATTGTCTGGCTTTACTTGTTAAAAACCAATTAATATCTTAGGCTATTGGTTAGTTTGAAATGGAATAAATAAATAAATTTCTTTGCCTTTATTTTGGCATAATGTTGATATTCTCCCAACATTGAGGCCACTTCTGATTTGTTTTTAGTGGAACAAGACTCAGAATTGCTGGATTCTGAACCTGTAGAAGAACATTTAACTAGAAGGTGGATCAGAACTTTGAAAAGCAACAGAACTAACACTGGGGTAGCCATTGAACAAAATAATGGTAAGTCCAGAAAAAGGCGCACTTATCCTTCGGGTGCTCTTGCCTTTGGGAGCCTCCTTGGCTCCTGGCCCCCCACTCAACTGCCTTGACAGCTGCATTTTCTGTGTCACGATGCGACCTTCTTCTTGCTGAAGTCTTTCGGTCTGTTGCCATAGCACCTGAATGCTTCCCAAGTGAAAGCCCACCGGTCTTGCAGCTCTTGCAGCAAAATGCTCTCCTCAAAGTCTGGGTGTGCCTTTAGCTCTGTGATCCCATTAAATAAGGGTCTGTCGCAACCAACAGATCCAAAATATGGTGGCTGGATGGTGGACTGGAACATGTTTCGACAGTGTTTAAACATGTCCACTAGCTTCCTTTATGTTGCCAGGTAAAAGTGGAAAGGCCTAACTTTAGCCCTTAAAGCTCCCTATAGAAGCAGTTTTGCTTCGCTTCTCCTTCGTCAGGACATTGCATGGCTTAGTTTGGTTTCCTAAACCCCCAGCAGTGCTCCCTATTAAGTACTGGGGTCAGCCAATATAGCCTTAATCAGATCAGTCGCATCACAAGCCTGTGTCTCTGAAGCCAGAACAATAACTTGTGTGAAATAACCACCATTGTTTTTATGTTCTGCAGTCCAAAAATGTATCTCTTGACTTTAATAAATGCTGAAGTCTGCAGCCAGGGGAACCTCTTACAATTTGTTTTATCTCCTTGGAAGTGGTAGGGATAACTGCTTAATCGGTTTTATGCATAATTGAAGATTAGCTGCAGGATAATTAAGGCCCGCTTGGTAAGCTTAGGAGAAGGGAGCAATTTGTCAGCTTGAAGTGTTCCTTTTCAGGTAATGCTGCAAATAAATAAGCAGAGTAATCCAGCCGTACTGTGAAAAGCATGATTCAGACATTGGCTTGTGATAACAGCATGCTTCATACCCCAGTTTCAGTTCACAAAACAAAAAGACTCTAACGTCTTTAAAAGTCCCTTTCAGGTGTTGGGTTAAGATCCAGGTTGAGGTTAGGCTCTAGGTTAGGGATAAGCGAACAGGTCCCTCTGCATACTGAGGGGCTTGGAACTATCCAGATGGGGCACAAGAATTCATCAGTCAGCAGGAACCCAGTGCGGAGTGCCTTTATGGAAGCTGCTGCGATTTACAGGCACCATCCCAGCCTTTTATGGTTAGGGTCCAGATCCAGCTTAGGGTCAGGGAACCACTGGTCCTTTGTGTGCCTTGGGACCTGGAAGTCGTCCAGAAAAATGCGCAACAACCAGAGATGCGGTACACACACACTCCGTGCAAGGTGCTGCAATTCACTGGGGCTGGACCGGCTTTCAGGATTAGGATTTAGGTCCAAGTTAGAGTTAGGGTCAGGAAAACATAGGTCCCTGTGTGTGCCTGGGGCTGTGGAACTAATGCAGATGGGGTGGAGAAATTTTGTGGTCAAGAGGAAAGGAAACCAAGTGTTGCTAGGTGTTGGAATTCACCACTTTTAGAAACATTTCAGGGGGAAAGAAGGAAATTTGGCTACATAGAACTGAATTCATCTGAAGACTCTTTCCACACAAGTGTGACAGCCACTTTTGATGTTTAACTTTTATGTGTTTTTCAATTTATGTCTGGCCAAGGCTAGAAATTTAATAGAATACAATAATAAAGAAGGGAGGTATGCATATTTACATGGATGTGTACCTTTCTGAGTGCCATGGGCTTGTTCTCTACTAAGTTTGTTTCAAATTGAAGCCTATGTTTCTTGCTTTTATTTAAACAGATATGATTGGTGAAATATGGCAGGACCGGACAAAACGGGAACTTTTTCATTTATTTGGAATCTCTGCTAGTTTAAAACCATACACATGCCATTTAGGTGTTCCCGTAAGCAACAAAAATCCATGTAGGCCATTGAGCTATGAAATGCAAAACACAATTTGAAATGTAAGCAAAACATTGCTTCTCGGAACCAAGTACAATTGCCTTCCACCCAGATAAAAGTCTGGAAAACATAGAAACATAGAAACAGAGCGAGTCAGAAGGGTTCCCCGGGCCATCTAGTCTGACCCCCAGCTCCAGCCGGCTCCGCTCACGACATGCCCACCACGTGCATGTCCAGCCTATCTTCGAACACCCCATCTTTGAACAAAAAGCTGGCTTCTTGCATTCATAATAAGTACTTTCATGAAATACGAAATGGACATGGTCCAGCCAAGGTTAAACACTCTGAAATACCATTGGGAAGATAAGGGTTGCCATCCTGTGCACACTAGGAGTAAATACTAATAGACGCAGTAGGACTTCCCCCCAAGTGAGCATGGATAGCATTGCATTCCCACAACTGGAATCGACAGGGGGACCTGCCCTCGGTATTTTTGTTTTGCAGGTGCAGCATTGACAAGAACTGCTGGGGAATCGGAGGAAGAGCTGGGTGCTCTGCGATCTTTTTGCGCCACCAGGATCAATCAACTCTGCCATCCACCAAGTGCAGCTCCAGTGAAGATCAAGCGCAACCATCCAAGGCGTGGATCCACATTAGAGAAGCCTTTGCAATGCGATTTGAACCTTACTGTCCCTGAGCAGCTAGTGAACAGACTCCATCTGAGGAATATCGAGGAGACTATGAAACAGGTATTACAAGGACTTTTGCTTTCTCTCCCATTGCTAAAAAAGAAAAAAAAATGCAAGTGCAAACGCAAATGCAAAGCATTCTTACTAACACAGGGATCGGGTTTTGACTTGCATGGATTCATTTTGCATGATCGCTATTGAACAAGAAAGCTCTTTTCAATACTGAAACATGGAAAACGAGTTAGGTGCAGTCCTGTATGTACAAAGATAGCTATTTACAATTTATTCAGCACTTTTTCTGTTCACATGTATTGCATTTTCCTTCACAACAATCCTGTCTTGATGACACGTATTTTACTGATGGGGAATTGAGAGTGAGAGAGCATTACTTGTCTGAGGCCATGTACTGAGTCTCTGAAAGAGAGTACTTGAACCCAGACTATCCAGATCCAAGTACAATGTTCTATCTAGTTGAGCACAGGAGACAAATTGCATATGCAGATAAGTACTTTGGAGATTATTTATTTTTCTTCTGGGCACATCCACATTTCTTCAAGTGGGCTACTTTTTCAAAGGGTTGTGCTGGGCTCAATGGGATGGTTAAAAAACATTACATTTACTGAAAATAATGTAAGGACTTTGGTATTATATTTATTGTGTCATGGTCTTATGGTACAATCCTTTTCCTATTTACTGAGAGGTCCTTCTCTGTTCAGTGACAGCGATTCCCAGAAAAGCAGTTGTGCATAAGATTGAAGCTTTCTTTCAGGACTCCTTTACAAGCCATCCAATCTTTAAAAGATTCACAGTTTGGGGCAAGTCTGCTTTTGACAACAACAGACTGCTTTCGTATAACAGCTTTTGTAATTATGCTGGTTCCAAAAAGCAAAATTAGCCTTATGTAAAATACTGTTATTATTACTAGATGGTATTTTATGGGGGAAAATGAAGTTTGGTATAAATGGAGCTTGGATTTACTTATTGTGCTCATTCTTTGGAAAACATTCAGAACAAAAACTGCCTTGAAAGAGCACACCTTTGCCTCGAGACATTACAGGTAGGCCGTGGGTCTTTTTAACTAAGACTGTCATTTTGGTTATTTGTTTCTTTGCCTCTCAGTTAGCAGGAGCTGATATGCACCAACCCTCACGATGCCCCCACTGCCTAGGGAAAAGAGCGGAGCTGGCAAAAGCTGCTTTTCTGCGACGAAGGAAGGCCTTGATGGAAGAGGCATTGCTTCAAGAGAAACTGGACGAACACCTGTATACCAAAGTAAGCCGTGATTCAGGCATACACAGACATTGTCACAGGCTTGCAGATAAATGCTGCATATGTGACTGATTTCAGAAAGCTTTTGATCGGGTGGAGTGCCTGCACAGGGCTCTTGCTCCTTGCAGCACTAGGGAGAAACAGAGGTTCCACCAAAAATTATTCAAGGAGAAATGCTGTGAGGTTGGTCCCACCAACCTCTTTTCTTAAGCCATTTCACTAAAGTTTCAGCACATTCACTGGAGTTGGTAAAGCTTACTTCTGATCAGAATCAGGTTATATTGTTGATTTCAGATTTCCCTTCCTGCCCCTTCAAAAACAGACAAACCAACAAACCCCAACACCTCGCCAGACAGGATAATTAGCGCTGAAATACCTTCCACACTGGAAAGGGTTAAGACACCTCTGCCAGGTGTGGTGTGCTTTACCTGCCACCCATGTGCCAGTCCTCTGTTACACATTGCAAACTCTGTGGATGCATTTTATAAAAGGGGGGCGGGGGGGGGGAAGCTGCCAGAGAGAAAGGGATTATGAATGCTAGCTTGGTCCTTAGCCCGAGGAAACATCTGAGCCTCCACTGCTGATCCTGGAATTTGACGTGATGTTATCATGTCTTTGATATTCCTTTGATGCTGATCACTAAAGGCTTGAAAACCTGGTCTGTGAAATAATCCAGACTTGTCTGGGGGTGTATATTGATCCATCAGTTTTTCTACCACTGTTTTCTCAGGAGGGAGCCAACCAGCTGGATATAGAAATAATTTCATGGAGTCCAAGTGCACCCATGGAATCATGGAATATTTGGACTCCCCTGAGAATATTGGTATGATCCTAGTCATGGTCACAACCATGGATCGGTCTTAATGAAGTTTATGCATCAGCGAACTCAGTACTTCTGTCAAATGAATTCTCTACAGGGGACCCAGCTCTGCAGCCCAGATCCATTTTTTTGCCTATAATCTTTCCATGAAATCAAGACTACAGCAGTCTGCAAGATGCACAGATGGAGAACAAAAAGGAGCTCAGCTACCAAATTATCTCGTTGCTTGCCATGAGCATACAAAGCTCTCATGCACAGAGAGGTTGTTCAGAGTGGCAAATCACGTACCGTTTAAATTATGATGGGCACAAATGTGCTCTGCTTATGAGCTTATTCTGTAAGCAACCTCTTCTGTTCAAGCAGGTTGTCAGCATGATGGACTGAAACAACCCAGCCGTTACCTGAACAACAAGCCATCGCTCAGTCCTTGCTGCAATAATCTGTGAACCGGGTCAAGTCTATGTTTCTCAGTGTTGTACCCTAAGACTAGCAACAGTTCTTTGGCAGAATTCTTTCCCAGCTCTGTTTCACGAGACAGCTGGGGCCTTCTGCGTGCAAACTGCATGCACTGCCAAGGAGCTTGCTGTCTCCTGGATGCATGATTTCTGCCCATGGAAGCTGCATTTCCCCATTGCAAGATTTTCTTGCCGATTGTCACATATAAGTGGATCATTTTGGTCAATGGCTTGTATCTACTTAACTGGTAGGGGTTCCCCTCTCCAGGTGGCTCAGGCAATTGTTAATGGGTGTTTACTACTTTGAGCATCACTGCTGGTATCATATACATGATGGGGAAGATGGGACATACATCTTAAGTCAATATAAAGGCTGGAGAACTAATTATGTGGCCTCAGCTGACATTGGTGGCATAGGATCTCCGGTGAGAGAAGCCCAGATAATGTTCTTGTTAACATTACCTTGATAAAGAAAATGAGAATGAAAAGAGAAATTGTCAGCAAAACTTTCTTCTCTCTCTCTCTCTCTCTTTCTAGGATTCTCTCACCCTAATTGGAGAAATACACAAAATCCTTCCTAACCTTTCCGAGGATCCCAGGAACATATGGCAGAAACAAAAAGAGCGCACCCTGAAAGCTTAGCACCTCTATGATTGGGACCATTTAATCAAAGCAGAAGAGATGGGTTGAATCCACACACGCTGAACAATGAAGAATCTTCCAGGGTCCAACTCTGCATCCCCCTGTGGTGCAAGCAGAGCAACTTGCTCATATCTAGCTAAATGCATATTGCAGAATATGAAAGGGGACTTTATCGTTACTCTGACATGCCAAAGCTATTTGTGTGCATGAATTTCCTTCCCGGATTTTGGAGCACCTGACAGCTGCTTCTACCTGTAAGCAAAACAAATGGTTCTATTTTTCAAGGCAGGGAGGAGTAATTATTGGGTTTCAGTTCAATCTCTTCCTGCTGCCACCTGTTAAATTGAAAACGGGAGCCCCATGTGGAAGGAAGGGATGGGGTGGGGGAAGAAGGTTGGAAAGGAACAGAGAAAAGGAAGCCAGAGGATTCTTATACCACTGAAAAGAACAACAAATAAGAAGTGACATTAATTCATAACCCTGATTCAAAGATGAGAAGCAAGGATGCTAAATTAGTGATGTCAGTTGAGAGATGCTGAAGCAAAGGCTGGCAATAAAAATACTGGCAAAACTATAATAAAATGTCTAAATGATGTTCTTGTGCTTCTTTTTAAATGTTGATGACTGGTTTGGGGGATTATATCATGTGGATGTTTATTATTGTTCCAGTTCTTGTATTTACATTTTAATTGTTTTATTCATTTTGCAAGTTGCCCTGGGAATTTGATTGAAGGGTGGTACAAAATACTTAAGCAGCACAAAGGAAAGAGGTGTACATGTCTGTAGAACAAATAAAAGAGATGGCATTGTAGGACTGGAACGGCTGTTTGGGGAGTTTATGCTTGTCTTCATCATATTTTTAAGAGGTCAGTCATGAACTGACCTGCAGAAAATAATTGCTAAAAGGAACGGCTGGGAGAAGCAAGCGTGCTGCTGGAGAATGCCTATCTTGCCATGCAAAAAAAGAGGCCCCAGGACTCTGCTGCACCGCTTTGGCTGCAGGGACTGGCTTCTGTACACCGCCGTTCCACGTTCGTGATGAACAGGAGGACTCGCATCCACCCAGGACTCCTGCTCTCCAGTTGGTGCAGGTTTCCAGACCAGTGGCCAGTGCTGAAACCCAAAGGCATCGCTCCTCGACCTGCGCTTTTGGCGCATTTTACTCATAGATGCCCTTTTGCAGTTAAGGCAGCAAGATGTCCTTTGCCACACAGTGAATTAGTCAGGAATGAAAGAACCTTCCTGCAGACCGTTTTATTCAAGCGTCATTTTAATTGTTAATGGTATTTATTTTTATTCTTCGGCCAGGGCGACTTATTTTATACTGTTATATGTGTTTTATATTGTTAATTTATGTATTTTAATTTATTTATTTGTAAGCCGCCCCGAGGCTTCGGCGAATGGGGTGGCCTAGAAATTTTCTAAATAAATAAATAAACAAACTGTAGCCGTGGGATGCCAAGGACCAAACCCAGATTTCCGAAATGCCATATATGCCATTTCCCAGTGACCATTCCTTTTTTTTTGGGACAGCCTCCTTCTCCCTCTTCAAATGCCCTGAGCCAGACTGGTGCACCAGCTTGTTCCTAGCCCTGCTGCAACTCATCGATAACTTGGCAATCACAGGATAGCATTTCTGTGGAACTTTGCTACTTCCTAGAGTATCTGAAGCACTTGCTTGAAAGTATGCCAAAGCCTTCCTGTTCATCTGAACTGGATCAGGATCAACTCACTTTCTGGAATTAAGGTTTTGGGGGCATATGCTTTGGAAGAAGGTAGCTTGTACATGCCATTTACACTGTAGAGATGCAGTTTCTCTGGCGGGGAAAAGTAAGGAAGTGGTACAACAGGATGTTAGGCAGATTCATCTGTATTGGTCTTGTCTATCAGAAAAATGGTGACATACATATATTTTGGGTCCAGATAAAGGTGTGCTGATTAACAGCCACCCTCTTCCGCATACAGAAGACGCTTTTGCACAACTCTGGAGAGCAAGCAGGTTTTCTGCTCTTGAGATGCCACGCATTTGCCATGAAGCTGTACTGCATGGAAATAAAAGGAATGCCTTTGCAGCATTTATTAACATGACAGATTGTTCCATTTTGAATCCATCCTCTGTGGATTTGTTTCAGCACCTAGCCCCTTTCAAAAAATGCCTACAATTCTTAAGAAGCAGAAAGGGGTCCGGTGTCATCCTGATGATATTGTGCTTGGGAATACTCCCAGGAGTTTTGGAAGTAATTTGCAGCCTGCACTAGATTGTAGCCGCTCAGCACACTCAAAGCTTAATCTGGATAAATGTGAATTTAAACAGAGCTTTCTTTCCTGAGACCATTTCAGTACAAGGGACTGGGACCTGATCGGTTGTGGCCAGGGATGCAGCAGCTGTGGTGGGAAGCGCCAACATGACCAGTCCCCCAAACCTGAATCTAAGAAAGACTGGCAGCATCCCTGGTCGGAGAAGTCTGGGCGAGGCGGGCAAACAAGCTGCACCGGGTTGGGGTGGTCCCTGTGCTCCTAGAAAGATGCTCGCCAGATCCTCCACCTTTTATCTGACATGGTGCCGGGATGAGTATTCTTGTCCCAACCTTGAGCTCCATGTCTTCTCCAGGCTTACCTGGGCTGTTGATTCCCTCCTCATGTCCCAGTGATAGGCTAATCCCCAGGAACAGCCACCTTCCTTCCTGATTATGCTCCCCAGGAGTGAAGACCGAAGGTCGGTGAGGCCAGCTTCCCTACCAGTACACCCAGTTGCTTCTGGTAAGGTGAGTCGTGCTTCGGAGCCACCAAAGAGCTGTAGAAAGGCTGGGCCATCTCTCTCTTAAATGCATTAATGCTCACTGCTTGTTTATTTCTTTTATTTAGTAATAAAATAATATTGTTTTCTTCCCACACAGAATCATGTACGATCCATAAATACATTTTCAAAATACCCCTGTAGCAATTAAACAGGCTTCCTAAGAATGCCCTGTGAGATCTATTATTGTAATATTCTTAAGAACAATTGTACGCTTTAAGTAGTCTTTTTGTTTTCTTTTACCATTTCTTTCCTTTTTCCAAAGAACGGGCCACTTTTCCTCTCTCTTTTGCCTTCAGGAGAGCAAGTGTACAGCATTCTCACAGTTTCACAGCTCATTGAAGAAATATGCATTACATTGGCTAATGATAATTGCAAGCAAGCCATATATTTCAGCAGGATGGTTATATGTTTTATATCTACGTATACATAGTACCCACTTAAAAACAAGCAAAACCAGATAGTTACTCCTCTTAAAGAAAAAGGCATTTGGTTCCAGTACTCACAGTCTTTTGCAAAATGTATCAACTATGAAAATAGAAGCATGCTATTATAAGCTTGGTTAAAAGAAATAATAAGCATGGTTAGGTAAGAAATAGGGCTTACAACCCAGTTTTTAAGATAAGCTTAGTTCATTAATCGTATAAGTTTAAATTAAATCTGCATGTGAGTAAAGGGGATCATTTTGATGAGGAAAAAGCAGCATGTTTCCATTATGGGCATCATTGAAGAAGATGTGAAAGAGGAGAGCAGGAAAATGCTGCTTCTTCTGCGGGGCCAACCTCACATACTATTTTCTCCTTTCTTGCATTAAACGTATTGTGTTTTTTAATCAGCCCAATCTAATCAAGGGCACAATTTTGGTCCATCAACTCGTCTTCAGTTTTGCCATCTAACCTATTGATGGGCTTACAGTGCAATCCTAGGCACGTCTACGCAGAAGTACGTCCCATGGAGTCCCGTGGGATTCGCTCCCAGGTAAGCATGTCTAGGATTGCGGCATGGATGTCGCAGTCCTGTTAGAAATGCACATTTTCCTTGCTGTGACTAGGAATTGGATTGCTGCCATGCCTGACGCTTTTCTACCAGAAGAGCTTACACGGTGACTCGAAGAATGATGAAGCATGCCCATTTGAATTCGTTCTTTCTCCCTTCTCAACTGAAATGCTGATGCCTTGAAATACACCTCTTTTGAATGTACCCACTGCCAAAAAAGTTGACCTATGCACCATGATGGTGTGTGTGAGACTCGTTTGAAACAGAAGCTCAAGTTTCTTCTAAACATGCTGTACCTAGTTGTCTTTTTTCTTGGGGTATCAACTTAAGAATCTCAATTACTGACCTTAGAAACCTTTTCCCGATGAAATTTAGGTCCTGTGTCAAGCTCTCAGCAGTCCCTCCTGGAGGGAGCTTTATTTAAGAATATCAGAAGAGCCTTCCTGGACACCCACTGACCAAGTGACCATCTAAACCAACATCCTATCCCTACAGGGTAGTGGTCACACCAGCTACCCACAGGACCAATTCCAAGTGAATTACTGAATTCATTATTTTTACAGGGTGCTTCAACCACAGTTGAGAAATCAAACCCTTCCATGGTTGTTATAAAGGTGGGGAAAGAGTTAACTGCATTTATAAAAGGAAGGTTCATTTTTAGTCAAACACCCACGGTTCCTTGACTTTGTGGAATTACTTAGAGAAAAGAATGAAAAGCACCAGGAACTATGGAAGAAGTATTAATATTTCTCACCTGATAATGGGCGTTCCTTGTTAGAAATGGATTTGTTAACTCTCTTTTGGTTCACCACCTTAGCTTGAGTTTTCACCTACTTCCTGATAATGCATTCGTTTCCATTGTTTTGAATGGCATTCCCATAATATTCAGGGAAATTCTGCATTACAAAGCTTTCATGATGATTTTTTTTGTGGGGGGGAGGTGGAATCCTACTTCTTTCCAAACTTTGGGCTGTATCAGAAGCTGATGTACCAGAAGATTTATATCAATTTCGGTAAGGTTCTGCCCTTTTGCAATGGCTGAAGTTTGAGATCTTTGATGTCAGTGGTATATTTCAGATGAAGAAAAAGCTTCTGTTCTCAGACTGGCTCTTCCAGAATAGCTCTATTGCACATTAGGGGGCTATCCTTTTAGTGTCAATTGAAAAACTGCCCCTAATGAGCCATAGGGATACATGAAAATGCAACTTTACAATGCAACTGTTGTCTTCATAAACAAAATGAATGGAAACTGAGGCTATGGGTAAATTTCAAACCATGGATGACTTGTCCCAATTGGGTAAAGCAATGGGAGATACTGCTTAATTGCTATACCCATGCGTATCTTCTGAGTTCCTCTTTGCCATCCCTCCCCATGTTCTTAGTAATGCAAAAATATTATGGATAAACTTGGGCTGGTGGTTTTAGTTTTGTCTTTATGAAACAAGTCTAGATGTGCTTTGAAAACCACTCTTTTCATGGTCCTTTTGATATTCTTCATGGGCCTTTTTCAGTCTTTCCTTTTTCAGTTTCCATTTGTGAAAGCAGTAGGTCACCAGAGACATGGTGATCAGCGAGAAGATGAGGACCAGCACAATGACCAGGGCAACCGCAGAAGAAAGGGATGCCTCTGTATGTTGGGCTTCCGCATCACGTGTGGAATTCAAGATGGCGGATGTTTCATAAGCCTTGGCTGCCAAAAACACCGGCCTGGAAGTGCCACTGGACCTGGGCCGCATTGGGATTGTGTAGGAATGCCGTCGTGTTAGATATTCTTCTGAAGAAACATGCCCCCGGTCCCTC